GCATTAGTCTTTAGTGGTGGGGCACTGCGTTGTGTTCAGTGGGGGGGGCATTCGTGCTCAGTGGGAAGGAGACATTGCAGTCCAGTAGGTTGGCGTTGCTGTTCCTTAGTGTGTAATATTTTTGTTATTGTTCAATACTTTTTTCGTTCACATTCTCGTAGTTTCAGAAACTGATCTCATTGAAATACTATTTATATGAACCATCTAACCGGCCCAAAAATTTGTAATTGTTTTTTATCTCTCAGTGTCACTTACTGTGGCAGAAAATTCTGTTGGTGAGACACAGTTTAGATCTTTTTACATGTTTCCTTTGAACTACATTTTTCTAATGAGACTGGAAGTTTATTTCTAATCTGATGCAATTGCAGTAACATCTGACTTGCATTTATGAATTAATTAAAATTACACTGCAGTTTTTTATGACCCTAAAGTAGATATAACTGGATGCCATTAAGTTTGCTAAAATGCTGTGTGTCATGATAAAATTGTTCTTTTTTTTCATTAAATAATGTTGTCACCTTCTTTTTTTTTTTTTCCTTTTTCTCATTGCTGCCAATATCCTGCAGCCTCTTTTATCCACTTCCTGTCTATATGTGTTAATGCACATCATGTGTCTGCTGTACATCCCGCTCTATTCTGGCTTCCTGATCATGACAATTGTGGAACATGCCTCCGCAAGGTGTGTTGGCATGGCCTCCACTAGAAGGGCTTGTGGCAGGGTAATAATGCAGAAGTGTAACTGGAAGACAGTTGTCACCCCATTGCAGTAGGTGCCTGAAAAAGGACTGGTATTTTCAGAGAGGAAAAAGGTGGTTTCATTACTTCATCTGTACAGGTTTTATTTAACACTTAAAGCAGCACTCCAGCTAAAAAAAAAAGTAATATAAAAGCATCCACCCCCCGCAAAGAAGATATTTAATATTAATTTCTCCTTTTGCCAACACCAGCAATCACTGCTGTATTGTGGTGGAGTCAACAATGAAAGCCAACACTTTTGGACGTTCTGGATTCCTGGTCCCCCATAGGCTCCTGTGCTCCCTCCAAAATTTCTTCTAAACCTCTGATTACAGGCAACAGCATTGCTCATCACTGTAGCCTGAGAGGTGGGAAAGTACTGGAAGCAGGGGGAGGTAGGCAGGACCTTTTATAGACCTCTTGCTTGCAATATGGCACACATGAATGATGACACATTTGTAAATACTCCGCTGCTTTCCTAGTGCCCTACACTCTCTTTACTCTACAGTTTTTAGTTGAATTTAGTCACAAATATCTAGTGATGGCAAGAAGAGGGAAAGAAAAAAGGAAACACAAATGATGAGTTCTAACAATGTATTGTAATTACTGTTGTAATTATAACAATGTTGGAGCTTGGTGCCGCATACCTTAATCTCGCTGCCTTCATCACTGGCCTAGGACTGCTATTTTGGTAGACATAGCTCTGGCGTGGTGTAGAGTGGGTCAGAGTGTTGGCCAGGGGGGGTTGTTGAAGTTTGCATATAAGACCATATCTTGCTATAGAGCTCCCAGAACACAATGATGACCCAGCTGGCCTTTCTGCAGAAAGACAGCAGTCCGAAATATGATCTCCACAAGGGAGGACAAAGCAGGGTTCAGTCAACCATTGGTAGTTTGAAAGGTGGGAGCCCTAACCATTTGCACTTCTTTCTTGTTGAAAAAAACTGTTAATTATTTTCCTTACAGTAAATAGAAAACCTAAAACTTGAACTTCAGTTTTGCTCAACACAGAACTGGCATGCAAGCCACCTTGTTATCTATCAATTTTAAGTTGCCCTTCTCCTTGAGTCTACAGCCATTTATGATTTTCTGAAAATACCATAACTGGCTACAATCTCTGGTCAAAATTTGACATGGCTGGATACCTGTTTTTTTTTATAGGATTTTGCATGAACGTATAAAATCGGATTATATTGTTGCAAATGTATACGGCTGAAACCTCTTTACATATCTCATTAAATACAATATGATAATGTTTGGTTACATCCGTAAAATCCATAAAATGTGACCCTGACATTTTTTTGTTTTGGCAAAGCTGGACTTTTAGTTTTAAACTGTCAGTGTTGACAGTGTCAGTGTGGCCAGTGTCAGTGTTTTTGTTACCATTTCTGTCCCATTGGAGAGATTTTCCTTAACTTTCTGTCCTGTAAACATACAGGGCTACAGGTACACTTAAAAACAAGGTCACACAAGGACTCGTGTACACACGTACATATGCACAATCACAAACGGACACACACAGGTTGAACTTGATGGATCTGTGTCTTTATTCAACCTCAAATACTATGTAGCCACAACCGAAAGTAAGCAGAACTTTCTCCAAACTGAGGAAAATCCCCCCTTAGACCGTTGTCACTGGAACAAGTGCTCCCATTGGAAGGTTGTCCTCAATTTCTGTTCTGTTGACAACTCAAACAAAGTTTTGGATTTTCCCTCACAGTCCTGATGACCATGGTCACCTGGCGGGATGCTACCCCTCAGCACGCTATCCAAAATAAACAGTTTGGGGTTTAGATGCAATTGAATGATTCACATAATTAAATAACATTGCTCGGTCACTTAACCTGTAGTCATTTGTATTTCAGTCTTAGCGGCTATGCTGATTGCAAACAATAAGTACTAGAGGCAGAATATACAAATCTGTGTACAGAACACCAATGTAAAATTGTGGCAGCAATGAAAAAACATGAAAGGTCACAAAAAGCACTGTAACTACATGTTTAATAACTACATGTTTAATAGCTAAGAATATTTATACCAGGGGACCTTGGAACTCTAGGGTTTCTCCAGAGGTTGCTGGAGGTTCCTTGAGTAGTGAGCAGTGGCAAATTAACTTCCTGCATATTCCTGTGGCCAACATCCCCTAGCAAAGTTAGCTGTATGGGACCGGTTGAGTTTCTTCCCTAAATAATAACTGACGCCAATGATATTTTCAGCTATCTGTGACATTCTTCCCCCGACCCCCAGTGTAAGGGGCATTTTTCCAACCTCTGACCACCAGTGTAAGGGAGCCGATCTCCCACTGACCATCAATATAAGGAGAGGTCCTTTTCTACTCTCTTTCAATGTGAGGGAACACTAAGCTTGACATTGTCTGCTTTTCCTTTCTGCCTTCCTGTATATACATTTCCTGTATATACATTTTATATTTTTAAAACTATTACTGAAAATGTTCCTGTATTATACAAGGGGGTGTGAAAAAATGATTTGTGTCAGGTCTAGGTAAACCATATTCTTTAATTTTTCATTATCATGTCTACAACTTTCCAATCATGTTATAAAGTTTTAGTAGTTGGGTTACCTGAGACTTGAAAATGAATTCAATGGTTCCTCTGAGGTAAAAAGTTTGCGAAAAGCAGGCCGGTTATTGCTGTGCCCTGCTCTAAGGTGAAAATGCCAGATGCAGTTGTCACTTTTGATCTGTTGTTATTAAAAATCTTTCTTGCTTTGACAGGTGGGACCTTAGCGATTACGGGTACATATCTTCTGGTGACATTTTCACCAAATGTATCTGAGGATGTAACTGCACTGAAAGTAGAGCGATCTGTTATAAGCTGGCAGTTCTTAGTTTACTTGGTAAGTTTCCTTTTTTGTTTTCAATGTTTTTTATTATTGAAAATTGTACTATATGTATTATTTTTTTAGCATTTTTAGATGAAATTGTAATTAAACAAGTTACATACAAGATATCTTTATTGTAGGTAGTTTTGGCAAAGACCACCCAGAGCTGAGAATTACTGTGACTACTGTAACTGGTCAGTGTTTTACTAACTAATAAATGATACCGACACTACAGCATCCCCCAAACTTCAGGATAAACTTATATTCAATGTATTTTGGTTTTAAATGAAAATCCATAAAAGCTCTTCAATGGGAAACAGAGCCTATGGATCTATCTGGTAGTTAGAAGTGAGGGTACAAAATACTCCTATGTAGTATTTAAAGGGTGCCTGACCTGAGTAAATGCAAGAAACAAAAAGTGTATCCAAAGCAGGAAACTTTTTAGTTTTTTTGTTTCATTTTGGATAGAGAAGATAATTGTTAAAACCCCATCAGTGTTTTTTAAGTTTGTGTCCCTTTGGGGGAAAATTACAGTTCTTGTCCACTTCTTGTCATGAAGAGAGGACGTGAGATCAAATCCCCTCATAGTTGTCGCTGGAACAGATGTCCCTATTGGAAGATTTCCCCTTTAATCCTGTTATGGTGACAACTCAAAATTTTTGATTTTTCTCTCACTTTCAATACTGGTGACAACGGTCCTTCTTCCTCTACATTTTGCTTTTTCTACTCTTTATATACATGATCTTTATGTACCTCAGCCACTTCCCAACGTCGGCATATAGTGGGCTACTGTCCGTTATATGTTGACAAGACGGAACCATGCTGCAGACAGGAAGGAAAATTGTAGGGATCTACCCAGCTGCCTGATTGACAGCTGGCTCCGCCTCTCTACAGCCAGAGCCAGCTGTGCCTGCTCCTTACCCATCTGTCCCTCCATTGAGCACTGGAGAGGCAGAGAGGGGAGGGGAGGGGGAAATTCCTGTGGGGAGTGGTGACTGAGAGTCACTGCTCTCTGCAGGGAGAAGCCATGAGCTGAGCGTTCAGCAATTTATGACCACTTTGTTCACAGTATATAGAGATGGCGTGTAACAGCTGCAGTGTCCCTCACTGGCTCTAAGTATTGGGAAGAGTATATTTTACTCTCCAAATACTTTTTCTTTAAATGTATCTTTGAAGACATATGAATGTATGGTTCTTTCCCAAAATGGATATTGCAGCACTGCCAGAATAATAACTCTGCATTTTGCATCACCTAAGCACATTTCATTAGCATTCCGCACACTGACAGCTGAGTGACATCAATTAGTGCACAGTTTGGCTTGTTGTCATTTCATTGGTAATCTATGCTGTCCTCTTTGTGACACTGTTCATATTGATTTATCCTAACATAGACACAGCAACCACTGAATTATCCCATCTAACCCATTCAAATGTCAGCGCATAAACAGATTTAAGGAAGAAAAAACATTGAGACTAAAACACCCCCATGGCACGTAGAAGCTGAGAATGTCAGAGACTTCCAATTACCAGTGTAGATGGAGGGATCTCAAGAATTGCTCAGCCCTGCGCACCTAATATATTCACTTTTACAGCAACAATTAATGTCATTTTTAAATTAATGATGTCATACATTCCATATGCATCTGTTCTGTGTGCTTATCTACCAGCTAAAAAGTAAAACGGGAAAGTTACAATACATTTCTTCGGTGTAAATAAGTATTATCAATTGATTAACAAACCTGTAGAGCAAAAACATTTTGTGTTCCCTGCCAGCAACTCTGCAGTATATTCTATTACTTTTTTTATTATGAAGGTCTACTGACTGCTGGTATGCTGCTGAAATAAAAATGTTCTGGCTTTTAAGAGGTAAAAGAACAGTGTGCTAACTGCAACAACCCATACAAACCATTCTGCAAGCATCCTAATCTGCTGTAACATGATACATGGTTAAACCTGATTTCCAGGAGTTACTGTAGATTTATTTATTACATTTGTTTACATTACAGGGAACACTGAACACATACAGGGAACACTGAACACATTCATATCA